AAATGAATTTTGAAGTGAGTTGAGGACACTCAAATGAAATAGCCTTTAAATAGCATCTGCATATATTTGAAATACAACTTACATAGCATAGCTTTTACATAACACTTAATGGAGCTGGAATATTCCCTTATAGTGATTACATAGCATCAAAAGGAGAACCTATGCTATGAATAGCCTTTAAATACTATTAACGTACCTTTTAAATAACATTGAAATAGAGTAAACATATGATATAAAGAGCTTTTTAATGGAGGTGAGTATTTTTCAAATTAACATAGGTAAAACATATAATATAAATAGCTTTGAACTAGTTACAACATAGTGTTTAAATAACTTGAAAGTGATAACAATTCTGATTGAATATGTTTTGCATAGAATTCACATAGAAAAATTATAGTGTATAGTGAATGTAAAATGGAAATTGCCCAAAATGTAGAGAAATGACTTAACAGTGTTTTTTTTAGAAAACAGCATAACAAGAATAGACATGGTAAAAAAGGGCTCTTGAGGAATGAACCATTTCTCTTATACAGCAGTTGTAGATTGAGATAAATCTGTTAATTACAACAATATAAAGGGATAAAAAAAGTTAAAATTACAGAACGCAATTGTAAAAATTTCGAAATTGAATTTCTTTTCAATTTGTCCATTCAGTGAAGACTTAGAACAATGACAAATTAAGGATAAAGTATCATTAAGTCACAAAGTCAGTTCTAAAATCAATTGCAAAGACGAACAGTGGTACAATTTACAATAGAAAGTTAAATTTTAAGAAGATAAGGAGGTCTCTCTGGTTCCTGCAGCAGCAGCAGTTTCCTCTCCCTTTAAAAAGAAATAACATGTATGTATACATCAAAATGGAAAAATTAAGCATTGTTTCTATTAATAGTAAGCAATCTAGTAAGAACTTAAAATTTTAATAACAGGATGCGATGATATAAACTGATACCTTTCTTCGTTGCAGGGAAATCAGGCTATTGCATTTCATCCACAGGGCTTGTTTAATGCCACTGCGGGATACAGGTGAAGGCGGTTTCTTCTCTTCTCCATCTTTGGTTTTTTTCAGTACAGGCTCTTTGGTGAGCTTAGCAACAAGCGAAAAATCTGAAATTAATAATAACAAAGATAGACACTAAGTGAGAGTGTTTACACTCATCCTGATAAGGATTTTGTTATGACATTTGTACATTTAAACTTATCTTAAAGACCACCTGTGGGCCAGCCTTACTGAAGTAATGGCCTCATTAACAGCCATTCTACTTGCTTTTCATTTACAGTGAATAATATGGAAAATTTATTCAGCAGCTCCCAAAATTTTCCACATTCTGGGGTTTGTAGTGCTTAATAGTCATAATAATTCCAACATGAGGCCAATGGAGTTAAGCATAAGTATTCTCCACAGCCTATACTGTGTGTACATACCAGTAATTGCTTCAATGATGTCTTGATCAAGTTTATGAAGCCTTCTTCCCTTTATTTCTTCTTTAGGGTAAAATATGGGAAACAGTGTAAGTACCAGTGCTGTGCGTGTGGCAGAGGTTCTTATGGCTGCCTTTACCTTGACTGGGCAGCACCAAACACCATTCAAAATCTCTTCCCACTAGAATTTGAGAAAAAAAGGGTTGCAATAATTTTAGGCTGGCCTGGAGAATATAGATCACACTTTTTATGTTGAATTTACCACAAACTAAATTATGTCCTTCAAGTTTTCTCTGATTAAGCAAACAAACAACTGAACTCACTCTTTTTGATTGGAAAGAGAATGACTAATTGACATTGTGAAGGTGAATTACTCAACATGACACGAGCGTGGGACAAATTTAAACTATTATTTGTATATCTAAATTTGAACCTCACTATTCTGAACTCAGTTATCCCAAGCTCCCTGCTATCTGGAATTGAAATGATTTTTCCTTGAATAAACATTTACTTCTCAGTCATTTACTGTTGCCTATATTAAACCCCCAGCATCTCGTTTTTCTTTTTTTTTCATTCAGCTGTAATTCTGTTGAACATCTTTAAATCAAAAAGTAAAACTTACATTTTTAGTCATACCCATTGATTGTGGGACCTTTCCGTATTTTATAGAGTCGATGGCAGTGGTGCTGGGCTGCAAGGCTTTTAGCGTGTCTGTAATAAAAGGTTAAAAGAATCAAACCATTACTCGAAAAGGTTATTAAAATGACACAACTTTTTATATTTAACTTAACAGTTTCTGACACTGATTGCAACCCTAGTCAGGTAAACCTTCTCCTGGTAGCATCCTATATTTAATAATATATCCAATGCAAAATATCAGATCCTCTGAATTGCAGGCATTTATTTTATTAAGTTGTACTCACTCAATTCTTCTTTTGTTCTCTCTAACTCATTGCGTATTTCTGTCAGTTGCCCTTTCATTTCATCTTTCTCTTCCCTGCATATCACACTGATACACTTTGGAGGCTTGTGCTGTTTGGGCTGTTTTCCTCCAAAGTGTGGATGCAATGGAACTTTTTGGGGGACTTGGAGTAGCTCCTCTGCTGTTTCGGGGGCTTGTACATGTGGCTCTTCTGCTGGATTGCCCCCCAAAATCTGTGTTATGACCAGCTCATCATGCTGGGAGGAAATGTTTAATTCTCTTTCTTTCTGTGCGGAAGATTTCCGTTTTTTCCCCTTTTCTTTCTCTGCCAGCTTATTGGACACTTTCTTACATTTGGCTTTGTTTCCTGTTTTAAGGTGAATGAAAACAAGTATTAGCCAGTGTTTAGTGAACACATCACTAACAATGACAGAATGAATTATGAAAGACAAGGAAGAATACCACAATGTAGTATTACTAATTCTCAAGAAAGTTTTTCAAAATTTACACTTGGGTGTCTTTTACCATGAAAGTTAGGCAGCGTTTTGCTGTTTAGAGTGTTACTTGTGCGCCAGTATTTTCATTATCATTATTATATGGCTCTGTCTCACAAGAACTGGGAACTGCCAAATTCATGAATTTGATTGGTTGAAATCGATATTGAAAGCGGTCTAGATTTTCCCATCTAGGCTGGCATCTACATGTAGATCACTAATGTTTTGCAGTGAAAAAGTTGCAAACTAAAATGCAAGATCATTGACTATTTTCATCTAAGAACATTTATTTATGGAAGTGCCAAAAGGTCTGATGAGAAAAAAAAGTAAAGAGGATGAGCAAACTTTGGCAGAATTAAATTTAGCTCATGGATGTTTGCAAGCAAAGTGTCAGTTAGTACAAACCAGTTACATTAAACTAATTAAATTGTTCTTGTTTGTGCCATATAATAAACATCTTATTAACTGAGCTTAGTCGTTCTGTAAGGGAGGATCTTGACCTCGGTTGTGTGTACAGACCTCACTTCGTTCGGTCTGTACTCGTCCTCAGTCAAGATTCTCCCATACAGACCTCCTGCTCGATTAARAAGAGCTYAGTCTGATCTTTTCCACATTTATCACAGGTTTCACTGCTAYTTGTGACCATTTAAATCTAAACATATATTTCTGTATCTTTTACCTGGACCATTTGTTTCCTTAAGTACTGGAGAGCAGGTTGAACCTGAAAATCAGGCACAAAAACAAGTTTCAGCGTTCTTGTCATTTAATACTTTTTTAGTGTTGATTGGTTTTGGTATAATTTGTCTGTTCATTGATTCTTTAGAAGGACTCGCTGGTTTTTATGATGAAAACCCAATGGAAATAGTATTTATTATTAACCATGTATAGAGCAGTTTTCAATTGAGTTTTGGTTTTACTACAATTTGAGATTGGCTGAGCACTCTAATTGGTTTCAATTGAAGTAATTGGTTTGGTTTTGGTTTTATGCATTTGTGATATTTACAGAAGTGAAGCAGTACATACTGTTATTTTCTTCACTGTTGTCACTCTCTTCAGTGTCATCATTTTCCTTGAAGTCTTTTCCATAACTCTTACTCTTTCTCTTCCTTTGAGACTTCTTGCTTGAGCCCTGATTTCCAGTAGTCCCTGAAACTTCTTCCACATTGCTGACATCACCAGGGGTGACCTATTTTTCCAACTGTTCATCTGCATCCTTCTTTTCATCTGTTGAAATGCCAGAACAGAACTTAAGTGCCAATTAATTAACTATGCACAGTACACCTCTTCCTTTCTCACTTAGGGACAAGACCTACAGATCTTGATCTTT